ACCTTTTCCATCTTTCCTTCGATCAGAGATCCCACGTTTTAGGGTCTATACGGGAATTCTTTCCACTCGACTCGAAGCCACTCAAGATTGGTAGACTATCTGTGATCCCCCATAGTTTCCTGACCTGAAACCCAACCTTCGGTTGTAGCGCTGACCTGACCAAGAGCACTACGAATGTGACGAATACGACGAACACCACAAATGTCACGAACAATGCAAGTGTCACGAATGTGACGACCTCCGTGAATATCACGAACGCAAGTGTGATGAATGTGACGAATACAACGAATGTCACCAGCATCAAGAATGTGACCATCACAACTGCCATCAATGCGACAAATACCACCAATGCCACCAATACCACCAACGCTGTGAGTCCGCAGGAAGAGGGTGAGGCCGGCGGGAGAAAGGACAAAAGAGAAACGTGCCACTTTGTCTGGGGTAGTTCTTTTTTTCCTCTTATAGCCACTGGATCCTGTCAGAAAGGAAACCAGCTGAAGGCACAACAAACCAACTTCCAACTGGAATCTTTTGGGAGGTGTTCACACTGGACTCACCTCACCTGGACTCTTGCCATGTGTGTTGTCATTCTTGGGCAATGCCCGACCAAGTTTCGCATCTCTGATGCGTGGGTTCTTGTTTCGGAAAACCAGCTGTTGAAACGAGTGCAGACTCCTTTGACTCCAGGCCTTGTGCTTGGATCAGGGTTCACATCAAGGGAACAGGGCTTTGGGGGATGGTCCAAAAAAATATCGCTTGCAAGCAGATTGAGTAGTTATATAATGTTATATAATGTAATATGTCCAATGACTTGATATACTATAAGTAACTCTATAACCCATTGACGGGAACTCTCCATTATTCCTGTTGATTGTACAAGTTGGTATGATTCTTCACCCTGAGGTGACGGGTTCTGCCGGTTTCTGCGTGTCTCGGCATGTGTTTGTTTTGTTTAAACTGTGTCTATATTGTGTCGTTATTGTCTTCTTATCCAAGGCGTTCTTCCGGCGCTTGAACACCGGTTTCTTCTCCTGCGTTTGTCCGAGGAGAAGGAATGCAAGAAGGCCAATGCCAAGCAGCCCTGCTTCACCGATCCCACCTGCCCGGGCAAAGGCGAGAACCGCGACGCAGCGTCGATCACACGGTGCGAAAGAACAGCGTCCGATGTAAACCCGGCCAGACCCGGTGTTGTTTGTTGGGGGCCGAGTAAAAGGGTCCCTCCCTGGTTCAGTCTGCTTTGGAGTCTGTATGTCGAAGGTAAATGTGTCAGCAATGATCGATTTGCTGCGGAGCCGAAGAACTGTTCCGCTTCTGAGAGCGGAGAAGCAAACCCCATCGCCCCCGAGGCTGCAATGCTCTTGGGATCGCGCAACCTGTCTGGCATGTGAGTAGAGTAGCGATATATTTGGATAACGAGACTTAGCTATTTCACGAAGCAAGACTTCCGACATTCAATCGGACTGAGGCATTGTCGGTACTGCGAATTTGGGATATATGTGACTCGTTGGCAGAATCGAAATCTTTGAAGCACCAAGGCCTTCCCATCCCCAGGAAAGAATTTTGTAAGAATCTGACAGGACATGAGTTCTTTTCACTTTTTACTTCAGGAAGCAGTAACAACATCAAACCCATGTCAGACATGGTCTGATGTTTGGTACAAAAACGACTCATACGTCGGACCGAGACTCCAACGACCAGACGCTCGGGTTGGATCAGGCCTCGATCCCGTGCCGCAGCGTTGGACCTCCTCCCATCTCCTCCTGCAGTCCATTGGGCACCTTCCAATGTGGCAACCCGGTGGATGCAGATCCAAGGAACACGAAGAAGATATGATATATATATATATACACGGTATATTTATGATATTGATATTATTGTTATATATACATATAGGTTTTATAGAACACATTTGCAGGAGTTGTGTGGAAATTTGGATTTGTATGAAACAGGAGTCATTGATTTTCTTGAATTGAATGGTTGTAACTGCTTCCTTCTGAACGGGCTGAATCTCGTCGAGACCTCATGCTGCCAGCCTCCACTTGACCTCTGTCAACATGTGACACGCAACAATCCAGAATTTACTATATATATATATACAGTAAGTATACAGTCCCTGGAAGAATCATAGAAGTGGAACATTAAAATGGCACCCTGCAAAGACCATTTTCCTCTATAAACAGGTTTTCCACTTCTCAGTGTGTCGACCTGGAGAAAACAAAAGAGAGGCCTTTGGCAGAATGTTTCATACCTTTGAAACCTTTGATCGCTTGGAGATGGTCCGCATCTCCGAGCTTTGCCCCCGCAGCCCGCGCCCGGAATCTAAGATAGCACTTGCTTCCGTGAGTCAGCAGGACTGGCTTCGTTGTACTCAAGCGCGGCTGACCTTCCCGCCGTCGGTCGGCGTCCAGCGGCGTCACGCGTCGTGCCACCTTCGCTTGCGCAGGACCGGAGACGAATGTGATCAGCCGGAAGGCTGGAGATGTGTACTTCGAGATCTTTGGACTTACCGAATTACAATTCTAATTAAATTCTTATTGTTACTAGTAGTAAGGCACTTGTTACTAGTAGCTTCTTGTTACTACTAGTAAGGCACTTGTTCCTAGTAGCGATGCACTTGTTCCTAGTAGCTTCCTAATACCGATCCAGGGTTCGGGCGAGGAGATCGCTCGCGTTGGTGGAATGCCGACTGGTGTGGTGTGACCCAAAGTGACACGGGTGGAAGATGTTGGAATTGAAGTTCAAATGCATTTGAATCGCTTGAAGGCTTCGTTGACCTCAGCATCTCTGCCGTTTCCCCGCTTCTTCGCACACGGTCATCAAGCACTTCTTCTCGACTCGTCGGTGTCGCCTGTGTTGCCTCGTTGAACGACACAGCTGCAGTGCTCCAAGGAATCACATCACAGCAGATGGCTTTGAAGAACAGCTGCAGTGCTCCAAGGTCACCTGGACGCGGCCGGGTGTGGATAGATCGTGACAAGCAAGCCACTATGGCTATCGGGTACCCCCCAAGCATGTTCAAACCCACCACTATTCAAGGAGAAACCACGAAAGCATGACTAAAGGGGACTAAAATCTGCTGGTCCTTGGTGTTGTTTTGAGCCGTCTTTTCCAATCTATGTACTGTAGTCTGTACTTATATTATCTTATATTGATGGAACAACCGAACATGGGGTGAACAACATGTCCAATCACATGGGTGTGAGGGGTGTGGTCAATTAGATCTTCTTCATGAAGTGTTGATTGCTGAATTTGGAATGGAGGGCAGACTGTAGTGGACCAGTGAAATGCAAGAAAAGCAGATGCCTTGTCCGTCGGTCTCCAGAAGTACCATTTGAAACTGAATGGTGGAACAAGTGTTTCTGGGAAGTTGGATCAACTTGATGTTTGTTGTGATGAAGTTGAACAGTTGAACACTCTCTTAATAACATCTTAAAACTGGGGCCACAGACCCCCCCCCATGTTCACCTTGTACTCTTCAGTGCCTGGAGGTTCATGGCATCGGTGGGATCAACATGTACAGCTGCGTCACGGCAAAGAGACGTGAACGCCTCAGGCCGGGCGCTGTTTTGTTTGCGCACCCAAGGGCCGGGCGTGTTGTTTGTGGGGTGCCATTGCCATTTCCTGCTGTGAGTGTCCCTTCACTGGGTGCCCCTTTCTGGAAAAGTTTGGTTGTTTGTTCCTTGGTGCCGCCGGGCCGTTGGAAAGAAGATTGGCTGATGTATGTCGGCAGAAGCGATCTAGACCCAGACAAACGTGATCATAACAACGGTTGCAACGGTTTAGACCCTGCCTGCAGGAGGTTACTTGGTGGTGTAAATCTCTTCAGGGAGTCTAGTAGCTTCTTGCTGCTCATAGTAATGGCCTCCAACCTACTAGCAACCTAGTAGCTTCTTGCTACTATTATTACATATTGTGATACAGAGACACGCCACACCTTTTGTCTGCTGCGAGGAAAGCGAGCTTCCTGCAGCAGTTGACGTTCAGCGCTGATTGTAAGTTGTTTGTGAAGAAAGTGTGGCGAATGTCGCCGCAGCCCGTCGAAACGTGTACGGTGAGATGCCCTGCACGGCCAACATAGCCGAACATTGCAGGATGCTGAGTGTCGGGGCAGAGTGTCGGCGCTGCCCTTGCATGGCTTGCTTCGTTTGTGCGTCTTTGCTTTAGTCGAGCAACTCCTGCTCGGGTCTCTGTGTGAGTCCACTAATATAGCTTCAGGCCTGTTGACTCGGGCTGGAAATCTGCCATGGAGGTCTCCCTCGATCCTCACGGTGGGTTTTTGTTAAGCCCCTGCGAAGCCGCTTTTGAGGGTCAGCAGATCTGGTGAATCCCTTTGGCGGAAATCAACTTTTTCAGTGGCCAACGGGATCACTAATTAAGAAGGAAGTGCTGAAGGATGCTGAAGGTCAAACTGTGAGGCAATGTAAAAATTACATTCAGATGGATGAATCCATGATAATCCATGAATCTTTCCTGCACTTCTTGATAGCTGCACGCCTCGAATCTTTGGGAATAGCTCAAAGGAACTAGAAGAGAGTGCTGTGACAGCCAACGCTCGCACGCAAGGGGCTTTGAATGCCGTTGTACAGACCAGGAAGAAACATGAAATGGTTTGGCTGCAGTTGGCAAAGTGACCACTGGCAGCGGTGGATTTGCTGAGGAGAGAGCTAAAATCAACGGACCTGCCTTGGAGGACATGCTCATAGAATTACCATGAACACAACTGCACGACATGTGTTTTACACCTACCTACAGTATCCTACAGTAATTAATTTTAGTAGGTGATTCGGGTAGGGTGCACTGGTATGCAACGCCCAAGACTTGGTTGTTCAAGGAAGATAGGCCAAAGCCCGCAAGCCTTTCTGGAGAATTTGACTCGGTCACGGCCATTTGTCCATGGGTTTTGAGAGCCATGCAGTGAAAACGAGTCTAAAGCTTGATGACACAGAGATGTCTCGGTCAATTGGGTGGATCGCCCCGCAAGCGCACAAGCGCCGCACGAGGAGCTGCCAGAGAAGCCCAAAGAGGAGTCCGAGCTGCTGAAAACTGAGCAGGCCCGGTGGACCAGGGGCTGCATGTTTCGGTACCTGTGAGGAGCTTGCCATTAGACCCACCTGAAACAATCTAAAACAGACGTGACCAAACTCCGGAGGCATGTGACTTTTGAATTCCGTATGTTATCCTTTTGGTTTTTGGGGGATTTATTCACATCGCTTAGACCGTGAGGCGTCGGAGACTCCCAGCGGAGGCGCAGCACGGCACTTTTTCAGCGGATTTGTGTTATTCAAGGAGGGTGGGAGGTTCGGCAGCCCTTGGGTCGATGGCAGCGCCTTGCAGCAGGTCAAGAAGCTCAAGAATCTCAAGCTCAAGAACCAGTCGAAAATCCACCTGAGACCATAGGAGCAATATGTTCCAGCGCTCTGCTGACTGATAGAGGCTGCGTTGTGTGTCTACCAGGAGCTCCTGATGGTGTGCCGCGACGGCGGCATGTAGGTGGAGGAGCGAAAGGGGTGCCGATTTCAGTGATTTGCAATGGTGTCGTGATTGATTGCTCGAGTTTTATATTTTATAGATCTTTGTAGACGTATACATACTATACGTATCGTTGAATCGAAAGTGATTCTGAATGATTTGGTGACATGATCGATGGGGCCTTGACCTACTTCCATCTACTTCCCTACTTCGCGACGTTGACCTACAAAATTGTCTCCAGGGACACCCTAGGACACCTGTCTGGCTCACTTCAGCAAGCAAGAGATGTCATCCAGGTCTGTGACTTGTCTCCTTTCGCCGTGGGTTTTCCATGGTTTTCATGGGTCGGATCGCGAGTGCCCTTCACCCCAGTGCCCGGTGTGTCCTTCGGAGATCCAGGAGATCCTCCGGGAGATCCTGCGGCCCGAAGCGCACCGACGCATCGCCCTCGGAGACGGCGTGAAGGCCACGGGTGTCGGGGCGGTCTCTCCGGGTGCGTCGACGTTTGGTCTTCATGCGAGAGAGCTTCGCAAACCCTGGGAACCGAGTCATGAATATGTCTGAGTCTAACAAGCTGAAATGGGGCAAAGGAGCCATTCGTGGCTTTTCCATGGCTCTCACATGACAAGTCCTTCTCAGGCCAGAGATCCTTTGAAGAACAAACCTTGAAATGGTGCCGTTCGGACTTGTGCTAATATGCTGATGGTTGTGGCCGACAAATCTGCACTCAAGAAACATATAGATCATGCGATCAGTGAAAACATGTCCTTCCAAAACACATCACTGGACACATCCAATAAAGCCTTCTCATTCATTCCTCACATGTGGCCCCAGAGAAAGCATCATGAGAGAAGGACAAACACATACAAAATAAACTACAAACTGTATGTTGTGTTTGTGTTTCTTTCTGCGAAGTGTTTCTTCTCAGATTCTTGTGCAACCCCTGTTTCAGCCATCCGGCCAACAGCTGTTACCAGGCCTTCTTAGACCCTCCGTTCGCTTGGGACGGGGAACTTCCGGGAAAGGCCCTGAGCGGCAGCGACGAAGTCAGCAAAACGTGGTGATCCAGTTGCTGAAGCCGCCGTCCACCGGGCACGGTGCTCGGTGAGATGTTTTTTCTGGGACGTCCAGAGCCATGGGAATCCAAGCATATAATTCGCTGTTAGTACTTTAGAAGAATCACCGCACTCGGTTTTTTGCTGGGATATTTTTACTTTGCCAGTGGATCATTATCTAAACTTTAACTAGAAGACTATAATTAGATGGGATGTCAAAACACCTGTTTTGGTACAAGGGTTGATTGATGATGCACTTCAACTTTAGGCTGGACCCCAAGAGAGATGGAGTCCGGAATAGTCAGCTCTAGGCACGTTCTTCCCTCTGACCTCCACCTTACATGAAGAAGAGTTGCTCCGTGCCTGACCCGGCTTACCCAGCTTAGGCGTGGGCGACTCCTGATGTCTCTGAACCTGCTCATTGTTTGCGTGCTGGTCTTGCTGGCCTTTTGAAAGCATTTTGCATCTATATAAGAGGATTGTCTCTCGTATTGCAGTGACAGTTGCCTCGTCATCTTTACACTGCACGGTGCTATCGAATTGTGACTTACAGATCCGGGGTGGATTGCAAATGGGTGCGAAGCACACCCTTTTCTGCTTGTTGTGCCAGTTCTCCTTCTGCATTGTGCTGTTCGATGTCATCAGGAGCGTGGCCCACACGTCGTCGTCGTCGTTCGTCGTTCGTCGTTCGTCGTTGAACGACGTCGGGGGGACACGTCGGGACCTTGCGCCGCAGGAATCCGCCCAGCCTCTTGAATCCGCCACCCGATCAGAAGGCGCCCAATTTGGATGTTCAGCTGCACTGCGGCAGAGTGGCGCCAGCTGCCTAAGGTGAAAGAGCCGAAGGTCTAAGGGCTGCAACTCAGTCACCGGTCCGGAGGCTGAGATTAGCATGAGCCGAGCTAAACCATGTGGAACAATGAGTTGGGCAGTTTCTGGACTGATGTTGGAAGTCTTGTTGAGGTGGTATGGTGTTTTGGAAAAGGTATTTGGTTTCTGGAGATGGTGATTCCCTCATATACATGAGCTTCTTGCTGGGCCCTAGGCTGCTAGCTGCTAGGAAACAAACCAAATTGACTGCACCAAATAACACGGAACAACCCAGTTGAGCCAGTTGTTGAGATGCTGTTGATGGTTCATGAGCAGACAGCAATCACTGTTTAGAGGTTCAGACCTGCGCCCCCCCAAAATATTTCTGTGGCGTTCAAGTTCTGTAGACTCTTTCTTAGTTTTCATCGATTTTGCATCCACTGGTCATGTGTGAGGCCCCCGGCCTGACTGCGCTGTTGAGGCGACCGGGCTTTCCCCGGGTTCCATAAACCTTGGCGAATGCGTCGTCAAAAGGCCGACACCAGCAGCCTAACCAGATCCTGAGATCCACCTAAGCTCTCATGTTCTATTCCAATGGTGCTGCAACAACGGTGTTGCAACAACGGGCGCGGCACAAGGAAAAATCATGTCATGTCGCATATCACCTGTTGCATCATAATGTGTACAAGTCTATTGGCTTGCACAGCTGGCAGTTACACATGACACGAGCTGAATGGATGGGTTTGTGTGGCAAAGTAGGCAAACAACTGCTTCACACATGGACATTCATCGCAGACGTCGGACAATAGGCACCATTGACAGTTCCTTGTTTTTTCCAATGTTTTTCGTAGTTTGGCCATGGAGATAGACTTTGCATGCCTTGACATGACCAGCTTGGCGTGGATTGCCGAGTCCTTGTTCGCCACACTTAGAATGTTGTTTGGCCCAGTTAATTCTAGACCATGTGCCCAGGGAATGTGTGAACAACTGAGTCGTGGAACATTCCGAGGGCAGAATCTGCCCAGTTGTGTGCCTTCCTCAAGTTTCTTCTGAACTTACCGCGTGCTGATCAACCTACTTAAACTGCGTACCCACTCATGCTGCTTGAGAAATAAAGTAGGCCAGGCGTTGCACAGCCAGGCCGCGCCTGAGAAGCACAGTGCATGAAACCAAGATCCAAAAGTCACCAAGTTTGGACAAGACACAATGAAACCCTCATTGCATCCCTTATATCCTGCTTGTCAACAAGAAACAGTATTTTGGAATACTACTTCTATGTCACTAGGCCATGGACCCTCTCAACACAGAAGGGTCTTTGCAGGTCAATCGCTGGATTCAGCCGAACCCATGGTCGAGTCTGTCCAAACATGGTCGCTCAAGGCCACACGGCCTCTGCGCTGATCAGGTACTGTAGGTCAAAGCACTGGCCTAATAGCGATGGCCTCCAACCTACTTGCAATGGCCTCCAACCTAC